TTCTCCCAGAGGGAGAACTAATAAGTCTTGCTAGAGAGACTTACAAAAGGGGGTAACGCATTTGCAAAAATAAACAAATAACAATTGTGTCAGACAAGTGCCAATAGGCATGTCACACACAGATAAGTCCCTCCAAAAATGATATGAAAAAATAAGAAATCATTGATAGGGTTACAATTTGAAAAATATGGTAAGGGGACTTATAACAAAAATCCACCACACCACCTTAAATGGGCTGAGTATCAGAGAGAAACTGAAATGGAGCAAATTGTATAAGTAATAAACTGAGAAATTGATAAATTGAAAAACTGATAAGCAAAGAATTAAGTGGATAATAAACAAGGGTTTCCCCTTTTCTTATTCCCTGTTTTTATTTTTTATTTTCCCCATTTTTTTTTAGTTTGTAAAACATGATAATACAGTAGTACATCACAAAACTCATGTTATATAGCTTATTATAGTTAAAAATATGTAACTGGAATGCAGGGTCAGATTAAGAGCCCAATCGTCATGTATCTGGTGGAGATGGTGCTGGAAGCAAACTCACAGGATATCGCTTTAAGAAAACACATGCCCTATGCTAATGTCTTGCATTCATCTTTCAAGTAAATCCATACCCCCTAACAGCAGTATCTGGTGAAGCAGGATTTCGTGGGCGGGGTAAAAGGGTGTTCCACTGACACGAATCACATAACCAAAACTGCCCAAAGGGGCAAACATGCGCAAAAGAATCTGTCCGAGGAATTAGGTCAGTCTGGCATGAATACATGTCAGGATGCCTGCCAATCATGCAGGCTGGCCAACTAAGGGCATACTATGCAGACAGCACCCTGAGCTTGGCATAAATTAATCTAATGATGCGCTTGCTCAATGTTATGCAAGGACTCTCTTCTAGCACTCACTTGTCCACTCCTCTCCTTACCTGTACTAGCAGACAGATGCTCCTTTTACACAGTCGGACAGAGAAAATGTGTATGTTGTGAATTTTGAAGAAAGGGAACATGCCACAGAGTTAGACTGAAGTAGCAAGAGCATTTGCATAGTACGCAAAGTCAGCTTTACCTTAACCGATTTCATTGTCAGCCAGTCCACACTTGGACTTTTTTGTTTCCCTACATCCACATGTGAAGAGTAGTAAAAAAATTAAAAAATGTTTTTGCATTGGGCCTATTTTATGGGCATGGGCCTGGAGCTGCAGCTCCATCAGCCCCTATGTTTATCTGGCCCTGCTGGAATGTGTAAGGCAGGTATACATTATATTTATTGAAAAAATAAATAAAGATTGATGTTTTAGTATAAATTGTTATATACAATTTGTACGTTGATAATAAGGCTATAGGAGTATAATGTTAGATGATATGTAAAAAAGTGATGTACTGCTTGTTCTCTTTTCTTTACTGCACCAATAAAAAAAAATTTAAAAATGAAGAAAAAAATTGTACAAGTAATTATACAGTTATTTTCCACATGTTTTCTTTGAGGGTATATGGGAAAAAAAAAAAATCTTGTAAAAGCTGCAGAGCTTCTGTCTTCAGCCTTTTTCAAGCCCTCCTTTTGTCGTTGCTGGGGTCATGACCAGTTAGACTTTTTTACATTGAGAAGCATTTGAACAATACACACAATCCAATGCTGCTTTCCAGTACTGCTTAAAGAGCTATAATTCTGTTCATTGAGAAGGAGGGCTCACTCTAGCTCAGCACTCCTGCTGCTTCCATCTGTGCTGTGGAGCCAATGGAATCAGTAGAAAATCTTCCTGGCTGTGAGTGACAGCCAGTAAGGTATTTCTGCATCAATTATAAAAGTGACGATTTCTATTGAAATCAGCGCTTTTATAAACTGTAAAAATTACATTGACAGTGGAAATATAAAGAATAAATTAACCAAAATAAACAATGAAAAATACTCTTAAAAATGGTAAACATGTGATCCCCAATACAGTGAAGACTGTCCACTGAAATAAAGAACTTCATTCAGTAAGAGTATTTTGGAATATAAAGAACATGTGCATTCACACTGCTGCAGTTCACACACTCAAACACACTCAAGGTTCCCCTCACAAATACTCAGTGCACATTAAAGATGCAGTGAAAAGTCACACAAAGATATAGCTACACCCCACTTTAGTGTTCCTGCGCGATAAAGGTGCAACATGCCACAGATACCATATTGAATACCCATGACTGCTCAAATGCTGCACAACGTCTGATGGTAGCACAATAACTCCAAAACCGAAATCATTCAATCCCACAAACGACCATTAATAAACACAAACATACCAACGATGCATACATAAACACATAAAACTCATTCATATGCAATACACACACAACCAATGCCCCCCACTGGTCATAATCCATATTAAATTGATAAATCACTGAATAAGACCCCTATTTATTAATCTTCCATAAATCCAACAGAAAATAGTAACCCCCTCTACCAGCTAAGTAACCTACAGTGAACAATTAAAGACCAATTCTATAAATGCAAAAACAAATTATACAAAGCATATAACCCTTATGAACAACATCAGTGAAATCAATAATGATTTTCTCTTTATATCCAATGTCCTCTTAATATTTCCATAGAGATTGAAACAAATAATGGAGAGGTATATGATATTTCTATTCATGGAAACTCAAGCAAGTTAATGTTCCATACTGACTCTTAATATTTTATCCAAGCGCATCTAATGCTGAGAGATAGATATATATATATATATATACACACACACACACACACACACACACACACACACACACACACACACATACACATACACATACACATACACATACACATACACATACACATACACATACACATACACATACACATACACATACACATACACATACACATACACATACACATACACATACACATACACATACACATACACATACACATACACATACACATACACATACACATACACATACACATACACATAATAGAAATGTGTATATCAAAAAAGTCCTCATTTCAAAGGTTCCCAATTCCATGTATTCTTTTTAAATATTTTTTTATTAAAGGTTTTATATTTTTACATCAATATATGCAGTACTTTTATATTGAATACATACAAGATGAATTGTATATGGAGATGCATACAAATGTACAAAAAGAGTACAAACAAAACAAAACACTTTTTTTTAGTTTATAGTAACAGTACAATTACTTTATTAAATCGTTTTTTTCCTTGTGTAGTTAACAGTTAACTTTTTGGATAAAAAAAGAGAGAAGCATTTCTCATGTGATTCTATAGTTTAGGGGAAAGAAAAAGAGAAGGGGAAGAAGGGGGGGGGAGGGGAGAGTTATAACCTTTAAAGATTTACCTGGTGATATATAAAAAGGGTATTTGCTCTAGAGCAGGGTTTCCCAATTAATTTTTCCCGTGGAACCCTTTTACATAGTGTATCAACATCGTGGAACCCCCACCCCCCCCATTTCCCCCTCAAAAATTTTTTTTAAATTGCGCCAGTTTTTTTTTTTTTAAATGTGTCATGGTGTGTATATCTGTGCTTGTATGTGCTAGTTGTATATTCGATTAATAATATCATCACACACACACACACACACACACTGTGACGTGTCAAGGTGTGTGTATTTGTGTTTTGTATGTGCTAGTGTATGAATCTGGATTACACAGATACACACACTGTCAGATAGTGGTACACAGATACACACACCTTAACACACTGTGTGTATCTGTGTATGTATGTATCTGTGTATCTGTGTTTGCATGTGCCGGTGTGTCAAGGTTTGTATATCTGTGTTTGTATGCGCCAGTGTGTGTATCTCTGTGTCAGTGTATATATGTATCTGACACACAGATACACACACACACACACACTGACACACAGATACACACACCTTGACTCACAAATACACACACACACACACACTCAAATACACACAGTGACATACACACACTTGCACCCACAGATACACACTGACACACTCAGATACACACACACAGGCACATACAAACACACTGATGCATACTGGCACACAGGGCCGCCATCAGAAATTTTGGGGCCCCTGACAAAGCACAAGGTCTGGGGCCCCTCCGGGGCCCGCCCACGCCCTACCTAGTCCGCTGACAATGATGCAGGACTGAATGTGGTGTGTATAGTGGAAGTGAATTAGAATGTGTGTAATGGATGTAGTGTTTGTGTGTATTAGATACTGTTTGTGCAGTGAATGCAGAGTGTGTGTTTGTGTAGCGGATGCAGTGTGTATAGTGAACGCAGAGTGTGTTTGAGTAGTGGATGTAGTGTGTGTACAGTGATGCAGTGTGTGTTTGAGTAGTGGATGTAGTGTTTGTATGTACTAGATGAAATGTGTTTAGTGGATGCAGTGTCTGTAGTGGATGTAGTGTGTGTATTAGACACCGTGTCTGTGTATAGTGAATGCATGGTGTTTCAATTTGTGGTGGATGTAGTGTGTGTACTGTGAATACAGGATGTTTGTGTGGTGGATGCTGTGTGTACAGTTAATGCAGAGTGTGTGTCAGTATAGTGAATCCAGAGTGTGTGTCAGTATAGTGAATCCAGAGTGTGTGTCAGTATAGTGAATCCAGAGTGTGTGCATAGTTTAGTGAATGCAGAGTGTGTGTTAGTGTGTAGTGAATGCAGAGTGTGTCATGTAGTGTGTGTGTTAGTGCAGTGAATGCAGAGTGTGTGTTAATGTGTAGTGGATGCAGAGTGTGTGTTAGTGTAGTGAATGCAGAATGTGTTAATGTGTAGTGAATGCAGAGAGTGTGTTAGTGTAATGTGTAGTAAATGCAGAGAGTGTGTTAGTGTGTAGCGGATGCAGAGTGTGTGTTAGAGTAGTGAATGCAGAATGTGTTAATGTGTAGCGAATGCAGAGTGTGTCAGTGTAGTGGATGCAGTGAGTGTGTTAGTGTGTAGTGTATGCAGAGTGTATGTTGTATTATTGTATGCAGTGTGTGTGTTGTATTATTGTATGCAGTGTGTGTTGTATTAGGCTCCCTGTTACTGCAGAGGGGGCCCAGCACACTGCTTCTACTCTTCTCTTCTACTCTCTTCCAATAACTCTTGCGAGACCCGTGGATCGTTTCCATGGTAACCGGGTCTCACAAGAGTTATTAGAAGAGAAGAGAAGAGTAGAGGCAGTGTGCTGGGCCCCCTCTGCGGTAACAGGGAGCCGGGGGCCTGCGGCTGCACACATAGATAGATGCACACACTCTTTGACACGCACACACTCTTTGACACGCACACACTCTTTGACACGCACACACTCTTTGACACGCACACACTCTTTGACACGCACACACTCTTTGACACGCACACATATACACTCTCACTGCCAAACACATATACACTCTCACTGCCAAACACATATACACTCTCACTGCCAAACACATATACACTCTCACTGCCAAACACATATACACTCTCACTGCCAAACACATATACACTCTCACTGCCAAACACATATACACTCTCACTGCCAAACACATATACACTCTCACTGCCAAACACATATACACTCTCACTGCCAAACACATATACACCTCACTGCCAAAACACATATACACCTCACCGCTAAAACACATATACACTCACCACATACACTCTACCGCCAAACACATATACACTCTCACTGCCAAACACATATACACTCTCACTGCCAAACACATATACACTCTCACTGCCAAACACATATACACTCTCACTGCCAAACACATATACACTCTCACTGCCAAACACATATACACTCTCACTGCCAAACACATATACACTCTCACTGCCAAACACATATACACTCTCACTGCCAAACACATATACACTCTCACTGCCAAACACATATACACTCTCACTGACAAACACACATTCACTCTCACTGACAAACACACATTCACTCTCACTGACAAACACACATTCACTCTCACTGACAAACACACATTCACTCTCACTGACAAACACACAAACTCCCTAACAGATACACATACAGTTTTTTATTTTTACATTTTACTCCATCCAAGCCCCCTACCTTTAGGAGTGCTGACATGGAGTCCCGGGTGTCCAGTGGGGCTGCGGGCATGCAGTCCCTGTGGTTCAGTGGGGATGGCTGCAGCTTGGCGGGCGGCGAGGGACAGACAGGTGAGCGGTGGAGGCGGACGGTGAGGGAGCTCTGATCTCTCTGCTCAGCTCCCTCGAGCGCCTCCTAGTAATGCCGGAGTGATGTCATATTCCGGCTCCGGCATCACTGCTGTGCGCGCGAGGGAGCTGAGCAGGGAGATCAGAGCTCACTGCTCCCTCGCCGCCCGCGGACATTTTTTTTTTTCACATTTTTCGGCGGAACCCCAATTAGTGTTCCGCGGAACCCTAGGGTTCCACGGAACACCAGTTGGGAAACGCTGCTCTAGAGCAAACATCCAGCAATACTTTGTAGTAGTACAGACTTAATTAACATATGCCCATGTATTATATGTCCCTTAACTTGAATCTACAACAGAAACTTGGTATTTTTCACATTATTCATAATCCAAAGTGCAATTATGAATATCCAGGCCAAAGGATGACTCCTACAAGAATCAGTCATCTCACCCACAAAACTAAAATATAAAAATACAACCCAAGCTGAGTTGCCAATGTATATATCACTGCACTGCAAAGTATGAGCAGTAATTGAGCTTCAAGGTATCCATGGCATTTTGTGGCTATGTTATGCAGGAGCATTAATGGGCATGTAGCTTTGTGTGGCTGTCTGTGACGACATAGGCATGTACTGAGTATTTATGAGTGTCAGTCCTTGAATGTGAATACTGCGTGAACTACTACAGCGTGATCTTGTTGTATGAATGAGCATATTCCATACATTCCAAATTACTCTTACTGAATATAAGTTTATAATTGGGATAGACAGGTGTCATGATTTCCACCATCATTAATTACCGATTAGGCCCCACCTATGTTTCTGATGTCATCAATACCTGTGTTAAAAGGAAGCTGCAGCTGATCTCAGGTGCTCAATCAATTTGCCACTTTGATACTTGCTACTTTGCTGCTAACTGCTGAGAGAGCTCCTCTATTTGATTACCTGTGTACCGAACCTCTCTTGATTGATCCTGTTTACGCTGCCTTCTCCTCTCTCAGACTAGGAACAAACTTCACCACAAATTCTTCCATTCCTCCATATACTACAGGGAACCATAATCCACACTATTCTGGAAAGGACATCCATGCACATCACCCAAAGAAAGCAATATAAATTCTCCAGTTACGCGGATCAATAATTGGTTCAAGCCTTATGTTTATTTGGAAGGAAAAGGGGATACTAATGTCTGCCCTCTGGAATTCTATTATTACATGTTGGCTTTATTGAAAGTTCCATTACAGCCGATTACAGCTTTCTAAATTGTTTCATTTATTATTTGGGGCTAAACGGACTATAACCATTTATCCATATCTGGATCTACCTTATTTTCAATGTTTACTCTAGCAACCAAAAAGACTGTTACATTCCTAAAACAGGAAAAAACTGTTCTTCCAATGCATTATTTGTTGTCTAATGGACTTTATTCTATTTTCCTAATTAAGGAGTTACATTGTTTATTTATTTCTACTGAGTGCTATCTCTGTTGAAGTTATACTAAGCAAGATTGCTTCTGCATTATTTCCAATTCTCATTCCCGCACAAGATTGCCAAATTTACTTCATTTCAATAAATTACATTTTCTTAACGTGACAGTATCAAAATTATTAATTTATCTGTGGTTGAGTTCTAAATTAAGTTTTCCTAAAGTATTACAATGGACTTTGCTGTATTGGGGATCATGTGTTTACTATTCTTATGAGTATTTTTCATTATTTATTTTGAGGCATGTTTTTCTCTATATTCCCACAGACACATATGATGTCACGTCTGTGCCAGTTTAGGAATCGAATTGATGGCCATCGGGTAAGTTTCAAGGTATTTAAGAGGCACCTGGGGTATTGGTTCGGTGAAAAACGCATATGTTTGTGCATGAATCGTGGGGACTAGATTTCAAGGCATTGTTTCTGCTCTATATTTAGCTTGTGTTTTTGCTTTGTTATCCTAGCCATTTTACTGTCATTTTTTTTGGTTTGGAATAAAGGTCTTTTTTTTTTTTTATATATTTTGGTTTATATAAAATGTTAAATATAATATTGTATAGTTTGGTGTGTATCTGTATAAGTGGAAAATGTTATACGGTTTGCTCCCTGGCAGAATTACTAGTTTGTGTGCCCTCCATCATCACTTTATATTGAACATTTGTTTTATGGGCACAAAGTAGACGCTAGAACAGTGATGGCGAACCTGTTGCCAGGGGAGGGGGCCGCTGTCTGTCTGCATCAATGCAGAGTAGGCACCTTTCCCCTCCCAAAACGGCAGGTGCCTACTCTGCTTTTTTGTCGGGAGGACCAGAATGTTGCGGCTCCCAACCCCGCCAGCGAGCCAGGAACCGCTTTTTTAAATGTATCTTGCCCCCCACACAGCACACGCACCTCACACACACAGCACCCCTCACACACACAGCACTCCACATACACTCCACACCCGTACACACAATGCAGTGTGTGTGTGTGTGTGTGTGTTTAGCAGTCTGTCTGTGTGTCGGTGTGTGTATGTATTGCATTTGTTGGAGATACTATTAAATTTAAGCTTAATTTTATCTATTTATATAATTACTTAATTACTTGTATCATTTTACTCTCTGTTGTGTTCTTCTTTTAAAACATAAGATGTTAATTAGTTTGGACATCTGTACGAGTTGTTTTTTTTAAACTTAAACCTCAGTCTTTCGGTTTAATTGCCGTGTTGGCACTTTGAGGAAAAAAAAGTTGGCATGTATTGCGGTTTGGACACTCAGGCTCAAAAAGGTTTGCCATCACTGAGCTAGAAGGATGTCCGCATACAGTGAAGCTGTGGATGTTTTGGGAGTTGCTGACCCTTTTCTCACACCTACCAATGACCTGGTATGGAAGTTTAGAATGAGCTTGTGAGAAAGATCTCCACCAGCAGCTGATGCCAGAGAAAAAGGACAGAAAAAGAGAGCTGGGATCTCCATTTATATGAATAATAGTGACGTATTCCACATTAAAAAAAATCAAGACAGTGATTTATAGAAAGGCTTAGAACAATTTTATGGAAATTGTAGTGTAAATGAAAAACTTTATATATTAAGAGAATTGTTCAATATGAAGCTGTCGGTGGGAGGAGACCTAGAGGAAAAATCACAATCAAATGTCAATAAATGGATCATTTAGATTCAATTGGAAAGAAATTTGCTGAAAATGACAAAGTGATTTTATCAAGTCTTCCAGCAAGCTGCAATTCACTCATTCATGCACTAGAAACTAAAGACAATCACTCTGTAAATATTTTGCAGTCTAAGACACTGTTATCTACAGCATGTGTAAGTTTTATTTATGTTTTAACCATAACTACACTATACCATGCTTTTTGTTCTCTTATATATATATTCTTAATATAAAAAGTGCAATACCTTTTGACATTTTCTATTAAATCTACCATTATGACTTTATGTATACTTATGACAACTGTATATGCATACTTTATATGTCTGTCTATGCACAACTTAAAAAAATCACTTGTGCAAAGATACTAATTCTTCAAAAAAAAAATCATTAAAAATAACTTGACAGAAATGGTGAACATTGCTAGAGGCAACACACTGTCTATATATATATAGAGAGAGAAAAACAAGTAGGAAGAGAGGCGAGAACAGACAGCTCAATTAGCCTGTTCTTCGGTGGGTCCCCCTGCAGATCTCAAGCTGGTTTTATCTCATCTTGTACCATTACAGAGAGAAACTATTTGAAGCATCAGACTGGTCTCACCCGTACGGGCAGTCCAGATCCGAAATGCCAGCAAGTTCCCTCTGCACAAGAGATATGGCAACCCTAGATGATCGTTTCAACCTTGTAAGGTATCATCAGTGAGGTATAGCCAATATCCCTCTAGGCAGCGTGAGCAAGGCGTCCACGTCTGGATTGCCTTTTAAACTTAAGGAGAGAAAAACAATTATCAAGAGAGGTGAGGACCAGTCTTATATGATTCAGATATGTTCTATCTGTTATGGCACAAGATGAGCTAAAACCAGGTTGAGATCTGAGCAGGGACCCACCGAAGGCCAGGCAAATTG